TCATTTATGAACACCTTTATAAACACTTTATAAAGGGAACCTTAATGTAAAGTGTTACCATCAATCATTTTGAGTCTAATATCACCCCATAGGAAACGACTGGCTGACGACACAGCTTAATGCTCATTGGTTCAGACAACTGTGATGCTATACATAGAAATACAATAGAAAAGTAAAAAAAAAAAAAAATGTATCACCTGTAAGGGTTCTTCCATAACATTTTCAGGAGGCATTCATAGAATCTTCAAATTTCCATTTTATTAACTGCCACACTCATGTACTGATCACAAAGGTGCAGGAAAAAAATGTGAAAAACCAAAAGAAAAGAAAGAAAAACTAACTGATAAATGAAATATCAGCACACTACTGAGTTCTGGGCCTCAGATGTTTCTCCAGGGATCCCTCACCAGAACTAAATCAGCCATAGAAAAATCACACCCTTTTAACAAATAGATCAAACCATTTTATAATTACAGGGGGTCTCAATTCAGTACATCAAACCTCAATGAAAAAGAAATATATAATATATACAAATAAACTCTATAAACATATGAAATTCCATTCACCATAAAGCAATAATAAAATAAACTGGAAAGAATGCCCTTTATAATAACACATTCAAATGAACAAACAATCCAAACCCATATGGTACCCAAAACTACATTTCCCATAATTCCTAGCAAAGGATATAAAGGACATCAGGAAATGCCGCGCTCTTTTAATAACAAGCCTTTGTTCCATGCTGCAGAAAAACAGCCCCAAAGCATAATGTTTCCACCTCTGTGCTTGACTGTAGGGATGGCGTTCTTGGAGTCATAGTCAGCAATCTCTCCCTCCAAACACGGCGAGTCGAGTTAATGCCAAAGAGCTCAATTCTGGTCTCATCTGACAACAGCACGTTCTCCCAAACCTTCTCTGAATCATTTAGATGTTCATTGGCAAACTTTAAATGGGCCTGTACGGGTACATGTGCCTTCTTGAGCTGTGAGACCTTGCGGGCACTGCAGGATTTCAGTCCATTGCGGCGTAGTCTGTTACCAATGGTTTGCTTGGTGACTGGTGGTCCCAACTGCCTTAAGATCACTAACAAGCTCCTCCCGTGTAGTTCTGGGCTGATCCCTCACCTTTCTCATGATCATCCTTACCCCATGAGGCCATATCTTGCACGGAGCTCCAGACTGGAGACAAAATAAATACATATAAATTTATAAACAAGCAAACAAACAACTAATCCCTTAAACAAAACAAAATCAATTTATCCTACAAAGAAATGAAATAAATTAAAAAAGAAAACTAGAACGATTGAAATAAACTAGCCCAATTATTAAGTGTGGCCTTAGCCATCACACCTACATTGAACTCTATCTTAAACCTACAGTGGGGAAACTATTTATTTGATCCCCTGCTGATTTTGTTTGCCCACTTACAAAAAAATAAATTAAGGGTCTGTCATTTTTATGGTAGGTTTATTTTAACGTACAGAGACAGAATACCAACCAAAAAATCCAGAAAAAACAAAAAAACTAACAAAAAAAACCAACCAAAAAAAAAAAAACATTATATAAAGGTTACAGAAATTGATTTGCATTTCAGTGAATGAAATAAGTATTTGATCCCCAAGCAAAACATGACTTAGTACTTGGTGCAGAAACCCTTGTTGGCAAGCACAGAGGTAAGACGTTTTTTGTAGTTGGTCACCAGGTTTGCACACATCTCAG